AAATGTGGTCTATGGAAGACATTGCAGACTCCCGACAATTTTCCCAGAAAATTTTGTTAAATACGCGTCGATTGACACCTCAATAATCCAGATACGACAATCCGTTTAAAAGTTATTTAAGAAATTCGATTTTTCGTCTCCTTTTAAGCTTGAAAAAATGTCGTCTATTTTGTCCATCTGTTTGAGGGCTTTACAATTAACGTTAAGAATTCAAAAATAACCTTCTAAACTGACAATAATTCAACTTAAAAACTAGTGAAATTACAAAAACGTATACAGTATAATTTGCTTAGCTGCCTCGAGTACTTTGCACGCAACTTCGAGGCAGCAATCTTAATTTTAATTTTTGAACAAAAAAAAGTAGTGAACAAAAAAGTGAGCTATAGGTAGTTCTTTTCTAGCTCTCTCTCTCTAATATTTCTCTTTCAATTTTCGCTCCATGTTTGGGGTGTCAAAATAAATCAAATGAATTATTTTATTTTATTTTATTTTGATCCGGCAACGCCATTCAATTTGATAGCCATTATTTTCGTCGTCAGAGTACCGACAAAATCTAGGGCAGAGGTCGGCACGGCCCTATCTCGGGGGCATAGGAAATTTCTCTGCCCGAGCTCCACACACACACAGTATAAATGTGTGAAACGTCATGCTCACAGCCTACTTTCTGCTATTCGTTACTAACACTAATGCGGTAAAATCAAATCAATGTATTGGGGTGCCGACCACTGATCTAGGGACAAAAATGTCTTCTTCTTCCTTTTTTCACACCGTTTTATTTTATATGGAGTTCGGCCGCTGTAACACGTATAACAGCGGATTTTCGTCGTCAGAGTACTAGGCCTTAGACGCTACCGAGTAACTCATACTATTTGGTGTAGGCGCGCTTCCGATTATGGGCTATCATTATTCATCTCTATCACTGTCATTATTTGATATTTTTATTTGAAACTTCAACAGTACATTCTCAATAAACAGTAATTTCGAAATAAGTTGAAAAAAATCGATTTTTTCAACGTCACACATGAGGCTACATCCTTAAGCGACACGGATACAAAACAAGAAACTCTTATGCAAACACACTTACAAACACCACAACCACAATAAGAACTCGATCTCCAAGCAACAGTAAACACCAGAGGTAAAATCTGCATTTCATTTTTAATTCGGACAATGAATGAATAGTTAAAGTGTCGCATTGTTGAACGTGTGGAAGGCTCAGGTTCAATCCCTACTACGGTCAAATACAAATTTAATTTAGACGGTTAAATAAAAGGAAAGGAAAATATAAATGAAAAGTTTAACTCAAAACAGGTAAAGTTTATCCCCCACGTGGCCTGTGTCGTCCTTACCATAGGAATGAAATGGAATGAAACTCGTTAAGCTTTCACAGAAAACTTTGGCTACTCCAAACTTTTTACGATATTTTTAACAGGGCAATTTAAATATAAATACGATTAAAAATATTCGATTTTTGATTATTTTTAATATTAATAGTGTTTAAGTAATATTAATTTTGGAGTTTTTATGATAGTAATATTGTTTCTCTAAAGATATCATAAAAGTATCGCAAACGATCCGTTTTCGAGCTATCGAATACGAAACAATCACTTCTTCAAACTGAGCGACTAGAAAATCATTTTATTATTGTTTTCGAATCAAAAATCACGCTAGTGACACGTTTTTGTTTCGCCTAACCCTCGTTTTCGATATCTTTAACAAAGTTTTTTCCTCACATAAAAACGCGAAAAAATCCGATGGTGCCAACTACAGAGGCCTCTCTTCATTTTCAGCAATTTCAATGTTATTGAAAATTTATCACGCTCCTTTTACCCTTGCTTTTCGAACATTTCTCCATGTCAGCATGGCTTTTATTTTAGGCAATTATTTACTAGAGTTGACATAATTTGTCATAGATGGCATAGAAAAGGGATTTCCCACTGATTTTATATGCACCAGTGGGGGGCACTCTCATTTTCCATAGCACGCGTGCATAGGGTCGGAAATTTTGCCGCAGCGCTGCCGGCACACTGACAGCACTTTCTGACAGTGTGAGCACTTTCAAATTTTTTTAGAAGCTTAAGCCTAGTACTGTGACGACGAAAATCCGCTGTCGGAAATCCGCTAGCAAAATCGCACTTTATTCACCTACCGAGCTAGTGTGACCAAAAAAATTAAGGAATAGGGTAATACTGAACAACCGTTGTTTGTAAAGCATAGTACTGAGTTGACGAAAATCCGCTGTCCAACGAGTGACAGCTGTCAAACTCCATATAAAAAAAACGGTGTAAAAAAAGGAAGAAGAAGAAATTTTTGCCTTCTAGATTTTGCGGGTACTGAGTTGACGAAAATTTTTGTTATCGATTTTAATGGTGTTGCCGGATCAAAAAAAATAAACAGCTGATCTCGGGGAGTTAAAAGAAATAATTTCATTTATTTCTATGGGTGTGACATGGAGGGTCAATTGATCAAACAAAAAAATTGTCGGCCCGAAAAATTTTCGACGCGCCAGGACAAATTAAAATTAATTTCTGCGGTCAAGGCGAAGCCCATAATATGGGATTTGACCCACAAGGGGCATTTTAATTCCATAAATACATAAACAAAACACCAACATCCAATCGTTTTGAATTCATTTTTGCTTCAAAAAAAAAAATTCAAAAAACAAATAAGCAAAAATGAATTCAAACCTATTGGATTTTGGTGTTTTCTTTATGTATTTCGCCGCTAAGGAGCTGATTAAGAAATAGAAAACTGGGTCAAAATCAAAATCAAAACCAATCACAAATCATTTCAATACCATTTTATGGAATTAAAATGCCCCTTGTGGGGCATTTGTCCCATATTATGGGCTTCGCCTTGACCGCACTAAAAAGCTTGACTTTATCCTCGCGGGCCGAAAATTTTTCGGTTCGACAATTTTTTTCTTTCAAATTTTCGCTCCAAGTTTTAGCTATCGAAATAAATAAAATTAATTCTTTCAACACCCCAAAATCAGCAGTTTATTTATTTTGATCCGGCAACGCCATTCAATTGGTTAGCTAAAATTTTCGTCGTCAGAGTACCGGAAAAATCTAGGAGACAAAAATTTCTTCGTCTTCCTTTTTTTACACCGTTTTTTTATATGGAGTTTGACAGCTGTCACTCGTGCGACAGCGGATTTTCGTCGTCACAGTACTATGCTTAATCATCTAGACTCATTTGACAGCCCAAACTTAAAAACCAAAATGTTTCCACTGAGAACAATTTTCTCAAAAATTGGGTTGGAACAAGTTTTCTCTATAGAAAATATAGACAGGGAAGCGTAGTTTTTCATTTGTTTAAGAACTGTTGCTAGAAACGCTTTTTTTTTAAATAAAATACACTATTTAAGTGCCCACTCCAACTTTAGAATTAACAAAAAATGAAATAAAAAACTACGTATCTTTCGCTCTGTGAATGCTATGCTCTCAATGTTTTTCTCTGCTACGTATACACTCAAATTTTAAACATGTGTGCATCTACTTAGATGGAAGATCACAAAGAGTCTTGTTTAAAAATAGACATTCCCACTTGGTCCGTGCTACATCTTGGGTGCCCCAAGGAAGTCATATTGGCCCTTAACTGTTTACTTTTATTACTCTTAAATTTAATATTTAATGGCTCAAAATGCAAACTTTTGTCTTTTTATCTTTCTTGCCCTCTTCACGCTATATTTCCTCAATGGTTAATGTGACTAAAGTTGTCCCTGGTTTTATTAAAAGATGGTCAAAAAAATTTAACGACCCCTATATTACTAGAAGTTTATTTATTTCTTTGGAGCGTACGATATTAGAGTAAGGTTCGTGTGTCTGGAGTCCTCAATATTGATGTAACCTTCCTTATAGAAGGACTAGAAACTTAAGTCCGCTCATCTTCTTTTCTTGCCTTCAAGTCTAAAAACATCTATTCTTAATTTTCCTAGCACAGCAATACTGTCACTTTATCTATCTAATTTTTTGATGAATTTATAACTCGGATCTTTTCCCACGCGCTTTATGTCATACGTCCCTCGGTTTGACGTATTTACTTTGGACTTTGGACTGGTTTTTTATTTATTAATTTAAAAAAAATGGTATTTTCCATATTTTTACCAATACCTTACCAAGCTAACTGTTTATATAGACGATTATACATTCATACAACACTATAAAACAGTGGACGGTTCTAATCGAGTTTTCCGACCTTTATTATAGCCGGTACTCATTTCTTCCACCCACAGTTTAACCTAACCTAAAATATATGGGTATATCTTCTCTAAAATTTGGACATTTGGCCGATTTGAGTGAAATATAATATTCAGATCTATATTAAATATATAAATAGTTTGGCATCAAACGTTTTTCCAAAAAACCTTCCAGGGGGAAGCGGACGTGGCGTGAAACAAACCGAACTGCGTGGGCATTGTAGGAGTCTCCACGCTTCGTCTCGACTCGGCTGTTGATAATCATCAAGAATATATGTATATTCTATATGGGGTCGGAGATGATTCCGTCTCTATTTTACATATATTCACCCGACTACAATATACCTTTTTACGTACCGGGTATAAAAGCCGCATTGAAATATTCCAAATAGCGTTTGATAACACAATAACAGTAGTTGTAACCCCCAAAAAATATAAAATTTCCCAAAAAGCGTGCGACCTGATAAGTCAAGTTATCAGGTTTTTATCCTAACAGTAGACTGTTAACCGATCTTAAGTTTTAATGATTAACAATAATTCCTAATTTTAATACATAGTTTCAAAGCTTGAATATAAAGTGCCAAAAATATAATTTTAAGTTAGCTGCAACTAGGGCTACTTAATGTAATGTGTTCATCAGAGACTCGGTTTTTTTATTTGCTTTCTACTGTTACTCTTAGGATTCGAATTAAGAAAAGTGTATGTTAGGAAATTAAGGACCGTTAAAATGATTTTTTTTTAAATAAAGAGCTAAAATCATGAAAAATAAATGTAAATTTAAATTATTTTTAATACTTACATAACCACAGTAGCAATACTAATGGGAAGATAGGAAATTCTGATAAATACATTGCCGCAAAATTGTTTAGATTTCCTACATTTAGAGACCAACGGTTTATCGCTTTAGGGCAATTCAAGCTAGTTTCTTTAAATAAAATTGGTAGAACATTATTTTTAACAAGGTTTTTAAATCACTTATTTTGATAGCGACATCATAGGACACATGTAAACTTTTATTTTATTTTTTTTTTAGTTAATGTTTTGTACCTTATGTATGTGTTTCCTGTCTAATCCTGCACACTAGAATTTATATTAAAGCGCACTATAGCAAGTATGTTTTAAATGTAAGCTCAATAAATTTTTTAGTCAAATTACTTGGTTATTTTCGTCAATATTATTATTTTATATGTTTTACGTGCAAATGTATAAAGTTTACGATAAGTAATTTAGTTTGGTTTTAATTCCACCGTCATGCGCACAACACTTGAAAATTTGAGTACAATTTTTAATTAAAACGCACACAGTAATAGCAAAGTATTCAGTATGTTACGATGTTTAAGTTTCTACAATTACATAAATATTGAATTTGCAATAAATTTGATAAGAAAAAAACCATTATACGTTCTCTAGAATATTTTAAATCTGACTGATACTGCATCAGGACCTAAAAATTTTCTGAAACAAGGACTCGAAAGCTTTCTATGTATAAAAAGCTCAAAGTCCCTTAAAGCTTTTATTTTTTTTACAACAGAAAACATTTCCCTAAAGGCCTAAGAATAAAATTAAAAATAAAAAATTAATAAATAATAAATATTATAATAATAATAATTATTGTATTGGTTTTAGGCTTTACAAGTTCTTTATAATCAATGGCTCTTTTAAATAAATGTCAGTTCGAATTAGACATCTCGAACGCCAAAAAACCTACATTCTTTTTTTAATTCTTTCGAATTAACTATACAAAATGAATTGAATGAATTGACTGTGTAGCCGTTACGGTTAAAGTGAGTGAGCGCACCAGCGCGCTGCAGCGTCCGACTCTGTCGCACAAGATTGATACGACAAATGATGTAATGATATTAGAATGCGAACGGATGAAACCAACTTTTCAAATGCATTCGAATTCCAAGCTGTTTTTTTTTACAAGAAATTAAAAAAATATAACTCAGTGAAATGTTTTGCAAAAAATAATATTAATACTAGTATTTACATATGTAGTAGTAGTATTAATGTGAAAAATACATATTCTTATGCTTTTATGTAAAGGTAGATTTTGCGTCTTAAAAAATATTAACTTTAGATTTTTTTGTTGCAACTGAAAAAAAACAATTTTTTTAAATTCATAGTTCGACATTATATCACAATATGAACAAATTAAAATAAGCGAATAGAGCATAAAATATATGTACATATGAATGTGTACGTATACATATTATAATACATATGCTTACGCTGTATGGTTAGTGGTAATACTATGCACTATAGGAAATATGACCACTTTTTCTGGCCAAAAATATTATCTCAAGAAAGAAACAAGAAATTTAAGTTCTGATTTTTGATTTGAGTTCACATGGTCAATAGATTTAAGATTTAAAAAATGTGGGCGTGGCACCGCCCACTTTTTAAGAAACACATTCTAACTCAAAAACTAAGCAAGATATTGAGATTTTGATTTTTGATTTGAGTTTATATGGTCAAAAGAACTCAGATTTGAAAAAATTATGGGCACCGCGCCCTATTTAAAACTAACATGCTAACTGTAGAACTAAGCATGATATTTCAATTTGGTTCTTTTTTAGTGTTTTATAAAACCATAGTCTTCTTTTGAAAAAGTAGGTGTGTTATCTTTTTAAATTTAGATCGGTTTTGCACTAGTCTCACAGCTAACAGCTTCAATTTCAAGGTTTTGAGGTTGCCTCCTTAAATTATGAATTTCTTCGAAAGTTCATAAAAGGGCATATTCATATTTCACTCGTATGAAGAAAATTAAACAATCTACAACATGGACTAAATTACAATGTTTGACTCGGTTGACACATACACAAACACATAATACAAACCACATTAAAAAGTATTCATTTCAAAAATTTTGATTTTGTCCATAAAATTTTCAGTATTGGCGTTTTTTAAATCGCACCAAAAAATCGTAAATTCTAAGCTCATGTAAATGTTCACATCAACAGCTGTTTTTAACAGCTGATTTTTTCGCAGTGGCGCCATCTATGAAAATTTCTGGTATGCAACATTAAAAATTAATTTATTGCGAATGATATGCAGTTAAAATTATTTTAATCCTTTAACTTTCAAAAAATGGTTTTTGGCCGGAAAAAGTGGTCAAATTTCCTATAGTGCTATGTACTACCACTACCATTGAGGAGTTTTTTTCTGGGACGTTCTATGCGTCGGTGACCTGGGAAATTTTTTCCTCAGCGGAATAGGAAATAGCCATACGAATTCATGCAAAAAAATCTTGAGGAAGGTTTTTTTTGGCATAACCCCAAAAAGGAGTTCTTGGGCAACATTTGTAAAAATCTCCCATGGAAACGAGAGATTTTTAGCAAAAAAAATTTCGTAGAAATTAATTGAAAAATCTTATTCACCCTCCCAATAAAATAAAAACATATCTATATATGTAACATTTTCATGTCACAGTTTTTGTTACCATACTCCTCCGAAACGGCTATAAACGGCTCATACAATTTTGTGAGCGGATTGAGTAGGTCTAAGAATTCGCCAACATCTATTTTTCATCCTCTTCAATCCTGTTCGACATAACAAAAATCGCATATAAAGTGAGTTACCATAGCATTTTAACTCAATTTAAACTGGGGCAAAAATCCTTCATCATTAAGTAAATACATTAATTCTATTTATGAGTGTTTTGAACAATGAGCAATGCCAAGAAAACGCAAAGGGGGTGATTTGAGCCGTGATACAAGTAGATATCGAGACATGCAAAATAGAAGATCCGAAAGAACCGAAGAACAAATCCAGCAACAAAATACTGATGTACGTGTTAGGATAGCGCAATTGCATCAAGAGCCAGAAAATACACGAGCTGAACGCAATGAAGTCACAAGATTAGAAAAACGACAATCATGCCGTTTCACAGTCAATAGACGCCGAACAACGACCACAGGTACATCGGGCATTTATACCTGACTCATTCCTGCGTCTATCATTCCAGTATGAGCCTGAAATTGAGTATTATGGTTACTCAAAAGTGGTAATTGGTGCTATGGACAAGGAATGTCCGCATTGTAATGCTCTGAAATTCAAAAATGAGCCAGCTGGGATGTGTTGCGCGTCAGGAAAAGCGAACTCATTTTTGAACTCAGTGGATTCGCAAGGCATGCCAAAGCATAATGTAAAATAAAGGTTGGATCTCTAATTATCCTACTTCGTAATTTGAACCCGCCCCGACTGTGCAACGGTACGCGATTAGTCATTAAACAATTTATGAAAAACATGGTCGAGCCAGCATTTTAAATGGAAAGTTCAAAGGTGAAAATATAATAATTTCACGTATTCCTATTATACTTACTGACTTGTGCCAATTCAATTTCAGCAGTTTTCGATTAGATTGGCATTTGCAATGACTATCAACAAATCTCAAGATCAAACGATGTCTATTTATGACTTAGATTTAGAACACCATGTTTTTCACACGGACAATTTTACGTGGCATGCTCATGAAACCATTTTATTTGTTTGTGTTAGCTACAGATGGACTAACAAAAAATATTGTTCATGCTATAGCACTAAGAGATTGATTTGCTGAATTAAGATCAAATAATAACTTAAAAATAATGTTTGTCTTTTGTTATTTTTATATTCCCTTATGGTTCACAGCTCCAGATGACTTTATAATACATAAGTCTAGAACTAAGTAAATTTTGTAGAGAAATTATAAAGTCATTTGGCGGCAAAACAACGTTGCTGTGTCAGCTAGTAATATATATGTCGGGAAAGGATGGTCGTTTTTCTCTGTCATTTTGTATTTCACAACGCGCAGGGAGTCACAATGATCTCCTTTTACGTCCGTTCACTTCTGAGGGCTGTTCTTAATTGCTTTGCCTCTTCTCTTCCTCCTTTCCAACATTGCGCCACGCTCAGCCGGGCTTTATTATCCTTCCCCACCTCGCCCTCATTCAAAAAGCTTTTCTCTCTTTATTTGCAATGCCCATTTATTTCCTCTTAGACTATACACTTAACCTATAATTAATACAGTATACTTATTATTAATACTTATACAGTATTTGAAATTAAATCGAACTTATCTCCGACATATATAAGGTATTTTTAGAATTATTTATTATTATTTCATTTTTGAAAGCTGAAATGAAAAAAAATAACGAGCTGTAAAATGCTGTAACTAAATAAAACAAGAAAGGAAAGCTAACTTTGACTGGAGCCAAAATTGATATACCCTTGCAGTTAAAACCGTATATATATTGCAAAAATCAGATACAGTTGTCTGATCATTATGAGAATATCATAATATAACCAATTTATTTCAATACAAAAAATTAAAATAAGTCCCAAACTTCTATCTTAAAAAAAATAGAAAAATAAATACAATATATACACCCAATACCAAATGCCTCTTCCGATCGTTCAGTTATATGGCAGCTATATGAATTGTTATAGGTTATATCGTGGTAGGTTGAATCAACTGACCAAAAATAGAATCTTAGAGTTTATCCGTTCTACTAAATTTCAAAACGATCGGCCGACTATATCCTATAGCTGCCATAACACTGAACGATCGGAAATGGTATTTGGTAGAAATACCAACTTACAGTAGCGGAAAATGAAATCCGGACACCTAAGTATTTGCACTAAATGTGAATTTTGCATTAGTGTGGTGGAAGCGCGTGTTATTATATCGAGTTGAAATTTTTTCGTTATATTCGGAAGGTATTTAGCTTTCATGATCTGAAAGCATTTTTTAAATTATTAAATTTCTTATGTGAAAAAAAATTTTTTTTTTTAAATATGTCGAATATGACTCAAAATTTTCAAGGGCCATATTGGCCTTACAATCGAAAATCTTAAGCTTCCGAGGAATAAGGTCTCGGTTGGACGTGTTAAGTCTTCTTTCGAGGATTTCCTAAAAAATTTTAAGAAAACCAAAACTCTAAAGCATTTGCCAGGATCAGGAAAGAAAAAGAACACTGAACGATCGGAAATGGTATTTGGTAGAAATACCAACTTACAGTACCACAAGGATCGAATCCTTTCACAATTTGACATGACTGATCGTTTTAAATCAGCAAAACATGTAAGAAGTAAGTTTTTCCAGTTAAAAGGAGTCGAAATAAGCACTCGAACCGTTCGAAGGAACATTGAGGAGGCAGGACTTCAGGGCCGGCAAACAGTGAAAGACCCAGTCTTGACCGCAAAAATGATACAGTGGGTCATAATGCACGAATGTGCAACGACTGTACATGATTGGCGAAACGTAATTTTTGTAACGACACCAAAATAATCCATTTGTTTTACAATTTTATGAGCTAGGTGTGCCCCAAAAACGACAAACGCTTCAAAAATAATTGCTTACGGCGAAAGGTCAGGCAAGGAGCATGCCGAATGGTCCGGGGATGCTTTTTTTACATTGATTAGTGGAATTGTGAACGTCGAAAAGTACCAAGTTATTCTGAATCGTCACCTTCT